TTCGATAACCCTATATAGTTATACAGTCCACTCACTATTTTCTGTAAGAGTCTTATCCTAATTTTCAACCATCAACCTGTCTGGTAAAGTCGTAAGCTGTCCTAATTAGATCGTTAATTTCGCAATTAACAAACATGCAATTGTGGTTTATTGTAATTACCATATAGTCCGTGGATTTCAAATATTTTTAGAGATGGACTGGCTGCGAGTCCGAGTGTTCATGGTACGTGGACCATTTGCCCAAAAATTCGCTGATTTGGAACCGTGTGGTCGTAATCCCCGTTACATACGTACAAGGTTTTGGAACTTTAAAAAATGTACTAAACCTCTCCAGTTCTATCTTAAGGCCCACAGAGACTCAGCGGTAAATCTGAGGGTTTATAACGCTAAACATTGGGTTTTGACAGCACAGGTAGCCCATTGGGTAACTTTATGCTTAATAATAATAAAAAGACTATTTCAGTTACTTATCCACAAATACGAGCTAGACGTATTTTAAAACCTGTGTTTAAGAGGATCCAAGCAATAGAAAATATCAATTGATTCAATCCCAAGCGTTTGTGAGTAGCAAACGTACTTATTGCTGCTGTGAGAGGAATGTATCTTCTAACATTACGTGGTTATGCATTAGAATGAATGAACACACGTAGACGAAACCAAGAAATATATCAAGTACTGTCAGGTGTGTCCACCGAGGGGGGGAATCGAACCCCTAATTTTAACGTTGTAAATCTGAATGAAGATGAGATAAAATTATTCATTGTCTAGTCCTGTAACTGCTAGTCCGAAGCCACAATATCTCGGTTCTCCTAAGACTAAAATAACGTATTACAATTTTATCGTTAACAGCACCACAAGTATTTATTAGTCCTAAAATTCCGCGAGAGTTGAGAATATGATAAATATATAATTAAAAAAAAACATTTAACAAACCAAATTTGAGTAATAAAATTTGATGCGTTGTTGTTACTTGCATATTATGGTGATATGACCCGTTAGTTGAAAACACTCAACTTAATATTTGTAGATGTCGTTCATGCGTTTGAGCAGATACTCTATATTGTAAAATAAAAACATAAACAATTGATTATCATATTGGTAAATATACAGGAATTTTTAGCCTGAACGGTACCTTATACGCACACTTAGGCTAAGCAACCATGTCAGATACGCTAGGATTCAGGTACACGGCAGTCCGTTATCTTGAACAACTGATCAAAATGAAAGCAGCCGATCAGCAACATGAGGGTTTTGTCCGACTTTTTGAACCTGAAAACGAGCTAGATTGTTACTCTTATAACTTGCGCCCACAGCTGAAAGTGCTGAGCCTATATAATGCCTTCACATTTCGAACCCCAGACTTTATGATCCGCAGCCCGACACGCCAACCACTATAAGCCAAACATTAACATCTCTTGTTGAATATTATTAAGCTGGTTCATATTTCTGAACGTAAGCTAAAAATTTAGTTTAAAAATTAATTATTTGACTTTATATTAAAAACCAAAAATTAGATTACTACATAAACTGGCATTAATTTTAAATAACTACAGAGCTCAAATTCACTGGAATTATTAGTCGTCTGTTGTTTTTTATTTCTGTTTATTTGGCATATAATATTAAACAAGTCAACATTAAATGTTTTTTTTTAAAGATAATAACTTAGAACTACTTTCTCAATCAAAGAAATACCAATACTGTTTATAAACTAAAGTCCTTGAAAGTTTGTGACTTTTACTTATACTGGATCCCTAATAACATACGTTTATATTATTTGCTGTGTCCGCCGCGGGAAAATGAGCCCCGGATATTATCGTTGCAAGTCCTTAGACTTATCGCTGTCTCACCGTAGGACATTAACACACGAGTAGCACAAAAACGTAAACACAAATACCACAGGTATTGTTAACACAAAAAACGTGTAAACACAAATACCACAGGTATTGTTAACACAAAAAACGTGTAAACACAAATACCACATGTATTGTTAACACAAAAAACGTGTAAGCTCAAATATTACAGGTATTGTTAACACAAAAAACGTGTAAGCTCAAATATTACAGGTATTGTTAACACAAAAAACGTGTAAGCTCAAATATTACAGGTATTGTTAACACAAAAAACGTGTAAGCTCAAATATCACAGGTACTGTTAACACAAAAAAACGTGTAAACACAAATACCACAGGTATTGTTAACACAAAAAACGTGTAAACTCAAATATTACAGGTATTGTTAACACAAAAAACGTGTAAGCTCAAATATTACAGGTATTGTTAACACAAAAAACGTGTAAGCTCAAATATCACAGGTACTGTTAACACAAAAAACGTGTAAGCTCAAATATCACAGGTACTTAACACAAAAAACGTGTAAGCTCAAATATCACAGGTACTGTTAACACAAAAAAGTGTAAACACAAATACCACAGGTATTGTTAACACAAAAACAACGTGTAAACACAAATATCACAGGTATTGTTAACACAAAAAACGTGTAAGCTCAAACATTACGGGTATTGTTAACACAAAAAACGTGTAAGCTCAAATATTACAGGCATTGTTAACACAAAAAACGTGTAAGCTCAAATATCACAGGTACTGTTAACACAAAAAAGTGTAAACACAAATACCACAGGTATTGTTAACACAAAAACAACGTGTAAACACAAATATCACAGGTACTGTATTTAACCTCACTAATTTCTTCAGGGGTCCTCTGTGTATATGATACATGATTAATTCCACCTACAGGTAGGTATGTGAAACTTACAGGTAGAGAACGGTGTAAAAACAAGTTGGTAATTTGAGGAAACAGAAATATGTAAATTTCATGAATTGATCCCATATACTAGTACACATCAGCTAAAAACTAGAACACAGTAGTTTCCGTAAGGTCATAAAACTACAATGGAAAAAAAAAAACAGGTCCTAAATTTCTAAGTATTAATTCTTTAAATTAAGACTAACAACAAAGTGGTTATTTTTGTTTCTGGAGAAGTCGAACTCTGTACTTAAAACTGCTGACATCTTTAATCTCAGATTCCTATACCTAACACTTCTATAACTGAAACATTCGCATGCTCTTAAATGATCTCTTTGTTCGAGTACAAAGGTGCATAAAGGGTTATCTGTACGGTTTTCACTGCAAGGATTAAAAATTATATTTTAATTTATACGTCTAAGCCTACCGCCGAGTCACCACGTTGGAGGGGGGAGGGTAGTTTTAAATATTTGTTTGTTTCTTCGTTAAGGAAGTTCGCGCAAAGTTACACAAGGGTAACTTACGCTAGCCGTTTCTAATTTTGAACTGAAAATTGAAAAGAAAATGGCTAATTAAAAGCATCCACCGTCGACTCTTGGGATAATTTAATCGATTAGTGGGGTTTTGCAATGAATTCATAACACACCTGTGGTCCCACAGTTTGAAGCTAGCAATGAACCCTCAGATTCACAAACTAGCTTGCTCTGAGATGGAACCTATATTACATGACATCTGTTTTCTTACATTTCTTTATAAAATATTATCAAATTAACAATCGACTTTATATATACGTTTTGTATGTGTCTGTAAATTATGATGAAGCATCAATTAAATTACATCAGTAAAAACTTTATGAATTAATTTTATCAAAAACAATTTAGTTTCCACTGGTGAGCGTGCAATGAATTGTCCTCCAGGTGGCACTGGTTCCGACTGATATATTAGTTACACGTTTGTTTAAAGTTAAAAGCACAGATAGTCCATTGAGTTGCTTTGTGCTTAACAACGAGTAAACAAACCTTTGCCTCTTTCGGTTTATTCCTTCTCTCTTACATCTTTTTTCTTTTCTTCTTTCGTTGAACTCCTGTCTTTATATTTCTTTCTTAAAACCACGTCGAACAAGACCCTTTCTATTCAGGCTTTTAACGTGAATACTCATATTTGTTTTAAGTAATTTATTTGGACTATCACCACGTTTTTTTAATGCATAACCTTTCGGCTGAGTTACTTAGGCTTTCTACGGGTGTGAGATGTTTAATAAACAACAGGATCTAACGGGACAATCCGAATCACAAGTTGCCTAGCAGAAACTTAGGGTACGTTCTTGTTTTTCGTTGTACAACCAGTAAAAGTTCGGGTTAACATGGGAAACCACTGTGTAAACTTCAGTAATAACATAAGGACTTCTGAATCATGTGTAACGAAATCATCAAGGAAAACTCAGATTTTCATGACATAGCACTATTCAATAGCTAGATATAATTAGTTTGGTTCATGACATAGCACTATTCAATAGATAGATATAATAAGTTTGGTTCAGTTGTTGTAAAGTTACAGAATGGGCATATCTGTGCTCTGCCACCACAGGTATTAAGACCCTACATTTAGTGTTGTAAGCCTGCAGAATTACTGCTGAGCCACTGTGGGAGCAAGGACAAATGAAATATAAGTATGGAATTAAAGTAAGAGGAATCCACTTTCCAAGTTATAAACATCTGACGTATTGTTGCCTCCACAGGCAACATCACAAACAGCAAGTCCAGACTGTGTAACTAGTGGGAAGTGCTTTGGCACAAGAAATATGTTACAGCAGTGTAATAATAAGGCTCCCCATAAAATTTCTCACTCCCTACCTGTTTTTACTCTCCTGTACTAAAATACCTTATGGCCACAAGATATTATTTACTGTTGTACAAAATTGATGAGATTTCTCTACGGGTAAAATCATATATCAGAATAAGTACTGTGTGACATGCTCATCTCGACTTGAAATGACTGAGACATGGAAAAATTTCATGTATACATAAGTGTTTTTATCTTGTTGGATGTCTTGATTTTGGTTTAGTACAGTAAAGTTTAAACATTTGACTTACAATGAAACAATACTAAGTGTTATGGTGCAGATATTTTGGAGTTAGCAGTCTGACTGATTTGAAGTTCTGTTCTGAAACTTTACAGAGGATGTTAACTGAAACACAAAGTAATTAAACCATCAATTAAAAAAGTAAGTCAAACAGAAAAGTTTCAAAAGAAGTTTTATTCATTTAATTTTTCAGTTTTAAGTAATGATTTTAAGCCGTGAAAGGGTCTTCTAATCCACTTTCCAAACTAGTGCCGATTATAAGTTGTACATCCATCAACCCAGAAATATTTATATGGCCAATATACAAGAAGCCATATAAAACCTAGGAACAACCAGAATAAGTTAAGGTATTCCAATAGAGCACCTCTATCATTCAGTACCTAGCCTAACTATCATTCAATAACTCAAGAAAATATTCATGCTTTAAAGATATCAAATATGTGTTTAGTTACAAGCCAGATCAACTCGATTTACAGTATACATGATGTTCAAAAAATCACCGCTGGATAATTTCCTCATAAAATTTAGAATATTTCAGAACTTCTACTTGAAACATGGGAATGAATATTTGATCAGTCACTCTGTATAGAAAGGGATTAGATAAAGAAGTCAACAAATAAGCTACGGTTTCTTCAGCTGAAGATGAGCATATCTAATGTTGAAATTTTTTCTTTATAATTTTTCCTGTCTGTTAGAATATGTATTATAAAATCATTTGCACTAAAAGCAAAGGTGGTTTTTATAAAGGAAGAGAATAAATATGCAATTTGTTAACTTCTTATATACCACTTTAATGAGTATTTTTTTTAGAGTGGTCAACCAGCACGTGTTGTCTCTTGCTGCTCAAACTTTGGATAACAGACCTTTACTTCATCCCAACTTCTCTTTCCACATGCAAGATCTCGTACGACCTCACCCAAGTCTTCAATCTGCATGAAAAGTGTAATTAAAAACCCACAAAACTTAACTGCTTTCATACAGGAAACACAGTATACTCTTATCAATGAGTGTTATAAATATTTATACAATTAAGAAAAGCAAAAGAAACAATGATAGTATTGACTATCCAGATAAGGAGTGATTGTGCTAAGTAACCATAACTTATGGTGGAACAGCAGTTCGAAGTTTAACCAAGTCAAAAAACAATAAGAAGCCTAACTGTTAAACTTATTATATGTAAACATACACATACATATAATTTAAGTCCAACAAGGGACATGCTGGTCCATCTAGACCATCCCATTCACTAAAGTTTAAAACAAAACACTCAAAGCCAGCCTTTATCACTCAAATATTTATTAAGCCTTCCTTTCAACTCCCTTAAATAAACTGTGTCCACCACAACCCATTTCAAAGGCCAAACACGCTGTTAGAAAAGATGACTGCTATGCTGCAAAAAAATTTATATTTATATTCTTACCATTCTCACCATTAATATGAAAATAGATGATGTATCAACACTATGAATTCCCTTAACTAACTCTTCTCTATTAAAGAGAAAACAATTTCAGAGACCTTGACCTGTCTTTGAACAACAACCATTCCAACCCAAGCACCATCTTACTCTTATCCCTTTCCAACAATTCAGCGTCCTTTTTTAGATAAGGAGCCCAAGACTGAACGCAGTACTCCAAATGTGGCTTATCTAATAACCTACACAATAACATTATATAACCTATTTAGATTTTTTATTCAATATTTCTGTAGAAACATCCTAAAATTAATTTTCCTACCACTAGCAACAGCAGATTACTTGGATGGCCTAAGAGATTGATCAACCGGAACACGAAGATCCTTTTCTTCCATAACATTATTAAGGTTATTCCCATCAAAATTATGCTCATAATTCAAATGATATTCCATATGCAGTAAGTACCTTGCAGGTAATTATAATTAAAAGCCATCTGCCATTTATTTGTCGAACTCACCAACTAATCCAAATCCGTTTGTAAAGCAGCAGCATTCCTCCTCACAGCCAACAACAATACCCGAAACCTTAGTATCATCATCAAGTTTAAATAATTTATTGGCCATTCCTTGATCTAGCTGAGGGTATCCATTAAATAATCAAAAATTGTCTGAAGGACAATGTTAGATAGTATTTCTCTTCCTTCTTTGTAGAAGATAATAATTGATTCATTTAACTGATTAAATACTTGTATCTTTAAATTCAAAAACAAAAGCCTATACAAGGGGAAATGTGCCCTATTACAGGTTTTTTTATCCCCCTTCTCGAACAAAAATCCCAAAACAAAATATAGCCCATGTACACTGCTAGACAGTTACCATATATGGTACTTGAGATCTGAGCTAGCCAACTCTAGGTGATGCAAACTGAAAATGTATGTAAAGAAAAATAGAAATTTTCCCGATTTCAGTCTTTTTTTTCTCTCTCTCTAATCAGGCAAAAATCCTAAAATAAAATAACCATGTAAAATACATTGGATAATTTCCAGATACTATACCAAAAAATTACAGTAATCAAGCCAACCAACTCTAGGGTTAACACTGATGCTAAACTTATAACCTGTATAGCATAAAAGATTGTTCTTCATCAAGAAAGGACTTAAAATTTTTTATGTCAGTTTTGTGACATACCACTAAGTACCAGTTATTGAGTTTTCTACATCAAATTCATGAACTTACTGGTGCTCTTATCTGTTCCATGGTATCTCGTTCTCTTACAGTTGCTGTATGTGGAGACTGAAGTGTGTCAAAGTCCACAGTGATACCAAAAGGAATTGCAATTTCATCTGTGCGTGCGTATCGGCGTCCAATAGAACCACTACTGTCATCTACTTTGTGAGACACGTCATTCTTGGTAAGATCCTGGGCTAAAAAAAAAAAGAAAGAAGTTTTAGCACAAAAATATTATCCCAAAATTAAAACAAGTAATTATGATTGCAACAATGCTATAAAACATTGAACACATGTCACATATAACCTTTTTTCCTCCATCAAAATTCTGCCTTGAAATAGTCTGATTACTATTAAAAGATAGATGTGTTTAGAGTTAGATTTAGCATTAGTAATTTAATCAATGTAACTTAGGTTAATTAATCAGTAGGATATTCAAATCATTAAAGTAACATTTATTAATACTTACTTTATGATATTTATATAAATATGGGAGCATTTATTTTAGTTTACTTTAACGTTTTGCTTTTTACTCAACAATGTATAATGGGACTAATGGTTACTGAACAAATCTACGTAAAGTGATTATAGAGAAATGGGAAGGAGCTAAACAGTGTTATCACTCTAAATGGAAAGTCCAATGTGAAGCAATATCTTATGGACATGTGGGCTAAGTGGTTAGGTTAGTGACCCCTAAGGTCCAGGTATAATCATCTCTAAGTTTAAGCTACTGACCAGAGGAAGGACAGACAGTCAGGAGCACCCACCACAAGAAAAGTTTTGTCCAGCTCTTTGAACAGAATAATGGGAATGACAGTCACTTTTATAATGCACTCACAGTTGAAAATGTTGAATGTATTTAACAGTATCACATCTTCAACCTTGAGCCTTTCAATCCTCGGATCACTATTTATCAGATTAAAATTGTTTCAACACATGAACTTTAAACTCCTCTGACATTGGCTGACCACCTTATCCAAATACATACCAAATAATGGGTTAGCCAACTTTTACCTGAATAACAGCCATTTGATAGAATCCACAAGGCATTGAAAGGTGTCCTAAGGGTGTTTTCTCATTCAATCATTAATATTGTATGTAATTTATGGGCAATGTGAAGAAATGATGGTGATAGTAAATGTGTCTTTCAAGTTCATCCCATAGATGCTTAACTGGATAGAGACCTGGAGATTTTGGTGGCCATGGGAGATGTCTTGAAGTCTCCATCATGTTCCTCAAACCATGCATCCACAATTTGGGCCTGGCAGGTGGAACTATTGTCCTATTGAAAGTAGCTGTCCCAATCAGAGAGCACGTGAAGTATTGCTAGATTCACTTGACCAGAAATGATGCTGAGGTATGTGTGACATTCATTCAGCATTCTAAAATATGTTCCAAACCATGACTCCAACACCAAATGCCTGGACAGTTGGGACCACATGAGAGAGGTTTGAGTTATTAATATGGTTTTTTCCAAATCTGTCTTATACTACCTGCATAAAAATAAGGTTAAGTTTGAATCACTGGACTGCATCACCTTCCACCAGTCCTTACTAGTTCAATGTCTATATTCTTTACACCACTCAAGACATTTTTTTCTTGTTGGTAACTGAACCCAAATGATTTATGCAGTCACCTTCTCTCATAGTCCATTTGTTGAAACATTCTTTCCAGGGTATGGCTAAAGATGAGTGTGAATAGCCTTGCATTGAATGTCTATCGGTTGGTCTGTTTTTTTATTGTAGTTGGACTTTATCATCTTGTATGACTGCTTGGTCTGTTTTTTTATTGTAGTTGGACTTTATCATCTTGTATAACTGCTTTTCCTCTTCTCTTTCATCAAGTGTTTGCAGCCACAATTCCTCCTTGCTGCAGACATTTTATTCAACTTTTTCTATTGCTGATAAACTCTAATAACTGATGTCATGAATCAGCTGATCCATGAAACTGTCTTGGTCACTGTGGCTTCTTTTGAGTGCTGCAATATCTTTGCCTTTCTGATATCCATTTGACTGCAAATTTGCTGGTTCCAGTCATTTATAGTGCTGAAAGTATTATCTCACACCCATATGTGACCAATCTAATTTGCACCTACAGCTCAGATCAGGCTCAAGTCTGAAAGGGTATGTAGCTCCTGATAATGGCCAGCCAGGATATAATACCATATTAGCTTTAAAATCTGCTGTTATATAACCCCATACAAACTTTAAAATCTGCTGTTATATAACCCCATACAAACTTTAAAATCTGCTGTTATATAACCCCATACGAACTTTAAAATCTGCTGTTATATAACCCCATACGAACTTTAAAATCTGCTGTTATATAACCCCATACGAACTTTAAAATCTGCTGTTATATAACCCCATACAAACTTTAAAATCTGCTGTTATATAACCCCATACAAACTTTAAAATCTGCTGTTATATAACCCCATACAAACTTTAAAATCTGCTGTTATATAACCTCATACGAACTTTAAAATCTGCTGTTATATAACCCCATACGAACTTTAAAATCTGCTGTTATATAACCCCATACGAACTTTAAAATCTACTACAATATAATCCCATATTAACTTTAAAATCCATTCTTATTTATTCCTACTCAAAGTTAAAATTTTTCTTAACTGAAAATGTATTTCCAATAGATATCTCTGTACACAGGACAGCTATTTTCCTCTTGAAGTTACACTATTCTTCCATAAAAAAACGGTTTGCATGCCACCAGCCTTGTGAAACTTCCACCTAAAATTCATGTGAAAACATGTGAACTTGCACTACTGTGTAATGAAATATCATGTAGCAAAACCCTCCACCAAAAGGAGTGTGACATACATCCTTGCACAAATGCACCCTCTATGTTCACACATGAAAATCCTCATTCTTTGATGAAGCAATCAATAATAGTGCACCAGGAAAGTGGGTGGGAATGTGTAAGGAGGTGAGTATCTATCAGAAATATATTTTCAGTTCAGGAAAAGGTTAACTTTTGATATGATGCCTCCCCTCCATACAGATCAGCTAAAATCCCAAGTTGAAGTGGTGGAGGAACTGGTGAAGATGACCCTCCTTCCAAAAGCACCAGAATGAAGCCGATGGTGTGCGATATTCTATGTCAGGGACTGCCATAAGGGAAACACCCATGGAAAACGACATCTTAAGTGAAGAATAGGAAGAGGCAAGTTAAATGACCCATCCAAGAACTTGCACACAAGCCATTGGAAGGCCAATATGTGTAGTAAGATAAAGCCACATTCAGATTGTATAGGCTCAGAACTATGTCTGAACACTATCTTCTATACGTAAATGTCAAGGAAAGAAGATTAAACATTCTGTAAAAGGAGTACGTATGACAGAATACATGTACACAACCACATTTAAACATTGACTATGTGTGACATGGTATGGAGTACATGATTATGTCTAAACCATATCTTCTAAAGGTATGTAAGGAAGTAAAGAGCCAGATCTCATCTTTATAGACTAGATGAAACATTATATACTATGTGTAAGCGTGAAAAAGTTATGAACAAAATATTATTGTCTATGCGAGACCTGGACGAGAACTAAACATTATCATCCATGGGTAGGCATTAAGCAGTAAAAAAAAAAACTATGACGAAACATTACTCATTAACTGGACATGTTAAGGATTTACTGAACAAAGTCCATACATCATCATCAAAGTGTTGCACATTAAGGAAGAATAAACTATATTGAAATATTATCTCCTATGTTTATGTGTTAAGGAGAAATGAACAATTTTAAAACAATATCTCATACGCCAACATGTTAAGGAGTAAGAACTAGTTTATGCTAGTAATTACTAGTTATAGCCTTCATACCTCATTGCAAACAATTCAGAAAAAGTGAATATTTTCTATACAAAACATTTTTTTTCTGGGAAGTACTGCACGGGAAAAGTGTTAGGATTGAGTTCTTTAGTCATACGTAACTCATTGCATCAAAATGATTCAATATAAAGAGTTCAAAATGTTCATAAATTTTACCAATATAAACTGTAATGTTTTTACATATCAAAAGTGGTACTGTTTACTGAAAAAAATTAGTTTTTTTTTAAGAATTCCAGTTTCTCAGTACTACATTAAAAAATAACATCAATAAAGACATCATAAAACTCTCACATACAGTCCTAGTGAAAGTAGTGTTTATTTTGTGAGGAGAGTATTTAAAATTGTGTTCTATTATAAAGAAATAGTTGTTGTACATACCAAAGTTATTTTACTAATTGTCTGAATCTTGAATATCCAAATTGTGAAATTTTTTTTATGGAGTTTTGTTTGAGGGGCCATTCAGTAGATGTCACAGGAGTTTTGGTTACATACATAGATACTGACATACACTCTATTTCCATTATAGTAAGATATATACATGTAAAGGTATAATCAATTAAGACTAAGCATTATATACCAAGAGTACATGTGACAAAATAATGAACGAGATGTAAACATTACCTTCTATTTGGACATACTAAGGAGTAATAAGCCAGAACGAAATATCCACGACAAACATTAACGTCTATGTTGACATGGTAAGGAATAAGTAAGTATGACTAATCATCAACATCTATCAGTACATGTGAAGGAGAGATGAACTATGATTAAACATACTATGTGGTATATGTTAAGGAGCAAGTAACTATGATTAAACATTCCAGTCTATGTAGTACAGGATATGAAGTAACAAACTAGTTCTAAACGATATATCAAGTAATAAACAATTTAAAAACATTAAGTCCTATGAGTTACGTGTTAAGGACGAATAAATGATTTCTAAACAATAACTTCTATGTGTTACCTGATAAAGGAGGAAGGACGAGGCATAAAATGGTGGGAAGAAATATAAACCTGAAGAAAATGCTGGATGTGGAACTAACAGCTCAAGGATAAGAAAGGAAACAATAAGTAGAGGGCACACATAAGGCTGGAAAGTTCATGCGATTGCAACTAAGTAGAGAAGTAGTGGGTTAAAGATGTCACTCTACTTTGCCCTCCTCAACTTCAGCTTCAAAATATGTGAAGAGAAATGCGTGGCAGGCATGGAAGAAGAGGGTCCAGGGGGCAACGTGGATCCCATCAAACACTGGCTGATGCTATGTTACTCTTCTCCATACAGTGGTAAGTGTGAGTGATATTTGTTCTCACATCAGCAGAAAAAGAATTCATGGTAATCTGATCGTTCAATATAAAAGGTTGAAAGTACAAAGTTGTGGAAGTAAATTACTTCAACACATCTCAGTAAAAACTAAACACGTCTTAGCACGACTGTGCTGAAAAAAAATAGGGAATTTCATGAGTGAATGTAGAAGAAGCATTTGTGCAAAAAGATGGGTTGCACTCTTATTGGTGGAGGGTTTTGCTGCATGATACATCATTACACAGTAGTGCAAATTCACGTGTTTTCATGTGAATTTTAGGTGGGAGTTTCACAAGGCTGGTGGCATGCAAATCTCCGAGGCAAAATATCACAATTTGGAGAGGAAACTAGCTGTCCTGTGTACGTAAGTTAGTCATCATATCAGAAGTTAAGTGTTCTCTACTTACAGATTCTCTTGACAAATGGTGCAAACTCTGGGTTATTACTGAGTGGCAGCACCGAGCACTTCATAGGTGCAACGAGTGGTGGTAAAGCAAAGTACTGAAAAAAATACGTACAAAAATATATATATATATATATATGACCTTTTTAAAAGTTATTAACAAACAGAAAAAGCAGTAACTAAGTTAACCATCTGAAAAATTACGTTTTTGAATTTTCGGCTTTAACAAGCAATAATTGTGGATTTTTTATTTCCTGGACAATACAACTAGTCTGGTTCAATAAAATGAGCTGAGCTATTTTTATATTTAAAAACAATACAAACAATATTCTGAAGATGTAATTTTTTTTTTTTACTTGGAGATAAACAGACCAATGGAAATCTAAACTTTCTTTTAGAAATAAATTACCAAATTTTAACTGAAGCTCAATCAATAAATATTTGATAACTAAATGTGTTTTATTTCTATACAAAACAGTTTATAGACAAAAGTCTGAAGTAGCAAGAAACTTGAGTTTAAGAGGAATACCAGATATATAATTACACAGTGTAAGAAATTACGCGTAGTGGTTGTTGAAAAAGTTAAAAAAAGAAGTATGTTATAGGTGAAACCATTAAGGAGTTAATATATATATAATCATTGATACAACGTTTCGGGCAATGCCCTTCTTCAGATATCACTGTTCAGTTAGTGACAGCTGAAGAAGGGCATTGCTCAAAATGTTGTATCCACAATTATACATATATTAACTCCTTAGTGGTTTGACCTATAACATACTTCTTTTTATAATTACACAGGCCTGCAAATTTAAACTTCATAAAAGTTGTTATGGTTTTAATAACGGATTTTCCATAATTCAGCTATGCCAATTTCAAAAATAATAATTTTTTTTTCTATCATATAAGGATTTTTTTTATAAATCAGGAAGAAATAAAAACTCTTACTTAGATCAAATTATTCTTTTGTTTACCAAAATGAACATTTTTTATTATTATGTTTGTTAACAAAAAAATACAAACAAGCTGAAGAAAATGGAAGAACACTGATGTCAAACGAATACGCATCCTCATTCATCCTGTTTTTTTTTGTGAAATTATGTCTTTTAGTCTCAAAACTATATGTTGTGGTCTTTTATTTATTGCATTATAACATTTTGTGAAAAATTTCTACGTGATAATAAAAATTGATATCATTTTTAGATTCAGCATACAGAAATTACTGTACAACAAGTAAACATTTCAAGACAATAAAACCATCGCAGGCCTGTGTTATTACTGCTAATAAGGACTGAGCATGAAAACATTTTGGAGAATATTACATCCTCTTAAATTTGTAGTTGTGGCCATGATATTCTGATCTGGTTTTTGCTTATTTATTGCCAAACATATTTTATTTCCACCAATAATATACAACTCCATGACTTATTTTTATTGACATAATATAGTTTTATGAGAATGTCTTTTGCTGCATAGTAACTGTTCTTCAGTCTTGGAACACTAACAAAGTTAAGCCTCAAGTTCTACTAAAAAATTAATGTAAAAAGTTTAAAATCATAGAGACCACATTCCAAAACTACTGATAAATCTAACATAGAATTATGGGAAGAACACATGAAATGTTTAAAATCTCTAAGTAATTAGGTTCTGAAATAATCTGTATGATAATTTCTGTTTGTTCCCATGCTATATACTGAAAAAAAGAACAGTAAAAATATACTTCCTATAAATGGTCACTATATGTCCTATGAGAGTCATGAAAATGCTTATGGCAAGTGAATGAACTATTTTCAGGGTTTCTGATACGACTTTTGTATACATTTGTTCTGACTTCCAATTCTCTGATTGGCCAGTAAGTATATTAAACCACAAACAAAACTTTAATAAGTAAACACTATTAGTTGAAATACAATCAAAATATTGCTTAACAGTAAAAAGTATCAATCTCATAATCTTCAGTAATATTATGAACCCTCAAATATAAACCTAAATGACTTCTCTGACTTTAAGAAATTTTTATAATACAAATATTTCTTTATATTTTTAAACCATCTATAATTATTTATAATAAAATACTGACTAGAAAATATATATATACAAAGTTTACAGTAAAACCTAAATAGTCTTATATAAGCACAAATCCATTCCTTACCGTTCGTTGTTCATCTCCTTCCCTCATTCTAAAATTGTGTTCCCAGACAGAATACATAATTCGACCAATCCCAAACGATGGCTCTATTACTGCAGGTACTATTTCTTCAACTAAAGAAACAGTGACAAAGTAGCTGACAGTAATTCTAAGAAATTATGAGTGAAAATGAAAAGAATGTATAACTATTTCAACCACGTTACATCTGCCATATCCACTACTAACGAGGCCCTTCCTGCAATACCAGGGCTCATCAGACCAGCTGGGATACAACAGACATAGTAGTCATCTACGCACTATCTTTATCATTAAGTTTAATGAACAATGACTGTTATGATGTGAACTATTGATCAAGTAAATGAAATGTAATTATTATCAATTATATTCATGCTATTTATAAATCAAGTTTTTATGGTAAGGATTAATAACACAATATTATTAAATTTAACTATTTACAAATGGCAAAGTTTCTAGTGATTTACATCATATTTTATAGTTAAAACCAATAAACCTGGAAGAATTATTAGACTATCAGTATATGTAGAGTAACATAATAACTAAAATGTAATACAACTATTAAAACAGTCTACACAATGTTTTATTTTTCCCTTTATAAATGGAACTACAATATAAAAGCAGGATGCACACATAAACAGCTCAACTTGTACAGCATCATCTATGGACTATTAAATACCACCTGGCATACACAGTACGTTTTGTCACCACAAAACATAACTTTCACCATAACACCCAATGATTTAGTTTGTTTGTTTCAGGATTTTCATAAAAATTCCACAAAAGGTATCTGCATTTAGCCTTCTTTAATTTTGAACTGATAGACTAGATAAAAGTTAGCTAGTCAACATCGCCCACCACAAACTTTTGGGCTACATATATCTAACCAGAAGACTAAAAAGAAGTTAGCTAGTCAACATCACCCACCACAAACTTTTGGGCTACATATGTCAAACCAGAAGACTAAATAAAAGTTAGCTAGTCAACATCGCCCACCACAAACTTTTGGGCTACATATATCTAACCAGAAGACTAAAAAGAAGTTAGCTAGTCAACATCACCCACACAAACTTTTGGGCTACATATATCTAACCAGAAGACTAAATAAAAGTTAGCTAGTCAACATCACCCACCACAAACTTTTGGGCTACATATATCTAACCAGAAGACTAAAAAGAAGTTAGCTAGTCAACATCACCCACACAAACCGACTAGCTAACTTTTATTTAGTCTTCTGGTTTGACATATGTAGCCCAAAAAACATCGCACACCACAAACTTTTGGGCTACATATATCTAACCAGAAGACTAAAAAGAAGTTAGCTAGTCAACATCACCCACCACAAACTTTTGGGCTACATATGTCAAACCAGAAGACTAAATAAAAGTTAGCTAGTCAACATTGCCCCATACAAACTTTTGGGCTACATATGTCTGACCAGAAGACTAAATAAAATTTAGCTAGTCAACATTGCCCATCACAAACTTTTGGGCTACATAAATATACTTTTATCCATCATACAGTTGGCACATTGCATATGTAGCCCCTAGAACCTTTGAAATGCATATATACAGTTTTTCCAGTATCCCTGTATACTGTATCTGATATTTACTCTCCTTTACTATGAACTGTCACTAAGTCGAAAATGTAAGGAACAATGAATAGTTCATAACTCTGACATTAAATACATAATACCATGGCAAATGGCACTCTATAAAAGGTCATGGTTTGCTCATTTTGGCCCATACACATAGGGTTCTTTCATCGAGAATACTGTATTGTATAAAAATAAAGGTTACATATGTCTACCCTCTTCCGTTTAGATGATGTGCTATGGTATCTATGGCAGTAGTTGTTACCATGTTTATATGAATACTACTTAATCATTTTCTCATCAAGACCACAACATATACTACATATAAAGTATAAAATATTAGAACATTGTATGGCAACAGAAGAAAATGTGCAAACTGGATGGATAAAAAAAAGCTATAACAAAAAGTAACAAATATTGTTGGATGAAACACAAAAGAAATGTCCATTTACTGGTGTGGTATACTTTAACAGAGGACGTTTAACAAAGACTCTCTTCATTCCTATTTCACGACCATACATATTGTAAAGATAAATAACTAGCTTGAAGAACTACTGATTAATTCAGTACGTTTACACGACTGATAAAATCTTCTACTTATATAGGTTTTAAGTTTTTTAGAAAATAATTAATTAACTTTATATTCTTTGAAAAAGGAAGAATTATTGTTTATATAATTTTATTATTTAGATAAAAACAATTATTATCGTTACTATTATCAGGAGAGTAAAAGTCCTTTTTTTTTTGCTCTAACTTTAAAGCTATAATTTTAATATGTTGAAAATAGCCAGATTTTTTCTTACCCATTGCCATCTGACTAAATCATACAGCAGCTTCTTTTAAACCAAATTTGGGGTGGGAGAGGGGGGGGGTGTACTTGAAAATCATTATTATTTCTGGTCAACTTCATATCACTTGTACTTCTAGCTTAAGTTTCCCTTAAATTTAATATCTAGTTTGTACTATGAAGCTAGGTTTCATTCTATTACTACAATGGACAACTTACAAAGTTCTTGGGAATATAAAAACAAATATGATGTAACTTCTGTCTTAAAAAACATTAAACCAAATAGTTAATATTCTTGGTATTGATTTAACAAATGTTATTCTTACATTATGTATTCACTGACTGAATTATCAGAGGGCATCATAATGTATTAAGAATCATGCTATTCAAGAATCAGTTATTAATGAAAAAATACTCTCGATGTGATTTTACTGGTTTTTAAAACATATTTGGATTTTTTTTTAGACATTCCATCAAGTAACATATAATCCTTTGTTAAATTTTGATTTGCCAAGTTTGATCATTTGAACGTCATCACGAATCTTACAAAGTTATTCACCTACAAATTTAACATATTTACAAAACAACAGAAAATTAGATCTTTTTGTTAGTAGATCAAAGTCTGTATTTTTCTTGTTTTCTTACGTGTAGGTACAAAACATCGAAATCTGTATTAACTTTTACTTTTTTTACGGCACTAATGAAAGTACGAAAGGATTTTATAAACATTAACCCTTAACCAGTTAACCTACCAAATGCCTCAAACTCATTAAATGTTTATCCAAGGACCAGAGCTTACATACCTGTATTTTACTACGATAATACAAAACACTTACCATGGACAGTCTTTTGATAACGTTTCACAGTCACCATTTCTTTAGTTAAAATGTATTCTTTGCCTTTCACCATCAACGAATACTCTCTATGGAACAAAATAAATCACCACTGTGGTTGATTATCTGAATATTAGAAAAGCTGTAACAAATCATAATACAAAAACATACAGTAATGCCACAATCTGTTGCTAATGGTATCTTGTTTACATTTATAACATTTCCAAGGGAGTACAGACAACAAAAACTGACATTCCTACTAAAAAATTTTTTATTAAAATGTGAAAATCAGTACTTTAATAATTAAAGATCTGCTTTTATTCAACTTCAATGAACAAAATTTCATCCCTCAAGTGGGCAAACATTATTAACAAAACTGAAGATCCAAATGTATTACAGCAGCTGTGATATTTAAAGCTTACAGAACTAACAAACCTTGTCTAACATTTGGTGTCTTTTACTGCTGTTATATTCTGTACATTTTATAGTTTCTTGTACCATCAGTAGAAAGTACAAATTCAATTCTCACTTTACACTGTGTAAAAAAAATATCCATCTCATTAGTACAATGTTTGAAAAGATTATCTTCTCCAGATGTTGTGATAATTTAAGTAACAGCTGTTTATTTACCACTAATCAGGGAATATCCTTGTATATCTGTTTATCTTACCCATCAGTTTCTAGCTTCTTCTCCATTTCAATGATGTTATCTTCCCCTAAAGTAGATAGAACTTCCATCACATCTTTGGCTTCTTTCTTGAAGGCTTTACCCATTACTGGCTTCTGTGGAACACATTCTACCACTTCTATAGTCTTGTACAGAAGGTGTTAAGAAAAATACAGAGTTCCCTAATGAATCACATAATTAAAAACACATGAACTACAGTATTACAACAAACATACACATTTTATATTGTGATAAGAATATAAATATGGTATATAAATATACAAAATATAATTAAACTTGACATTACTCTCCACAACAGCATGACTTAATATTATTATGTTTTAAATTTACAGTCTTCTAAACCTGTATTTTAAATACACATGAGGCATGTGTGTGTGTCGTGTTGAATAATTTTAAGTTACAAATAAATTCAGAAGATGCTATGAAATGCAAGAAACTTAAATTTAAAAGCAGGAATTTTTCTTTTGATCTAGATTCTAGAGCATTATAAGTGTTAAAAGACTTGATTTTGACAGATTACTTTAATTTTATTTATCTTGAGCATGCTATATTTTTCTCTTCTGAATTGGTAGGTAAGGTAATCAAAACTTTGCTCATACTAAAAAATAAATTTCAAGCTACTGAATATAGTCATGAAATAGACACAGTTTTAGGTCCAGCAGTAGTCCCCATTTTGTAATCGACCCAAAAATGTCCTTTTCCTACTACTTTTCCATCCATGACAAAACTTTTCAAATTGTTCAAAATTTCTGTGACACTCCACTTTCAAAATAAAATCTAAATATTATATTTACTTTCCGTCCCGTGATAATACGAAGTAAACATGATATATTATTTTAGATACTGCTAGAGATATTTAAAGAATTATTGCAGATGGAATATTATTTACAAAATATTAAATTTTATTATAGTTCATCAAAAAAAAAAACAACAGACTACTCAGAATTTAAAAAAATAAGGTTTTAGGTCCAGTAGTAGTCCCCATTTTTTAAGCTTGTAATTCATTCAAGTGTCTCCTTTTACTTTTCTTACTATTTTCCATCCACGACAAAACTCTTCATATTGTTCAAAATTTTTGTGTCAGTCTACTTTCATAATAAAATACAAATATCGTATTTAGTTTCATAAGCAGTTCCATGATAATTGGAAACAAAATACTGTTAAATATTTAATGAATTATTGCAAAAGGAACATTATTTACAAAATATCAACTTTTTTAGTGTTTGTATACTGCGAATTAAGTCGAGTTTTCTTCTATAGTAGTTACTAATATTTTGAAATTATAAAGCACTTATTGAAGCTTTACCTTTAAATGAAAGTTATATCTAAAGTTTATTCCACAACTACATAATTTGGTCTAAGTAATAACTTAACTTTTATTGACACTTCATTTCATAAAAGAAAATATTTGGGATTTTTCTAGTATACATGCGACAGAAAATTAAAAGACCTTAATCGTAGGTTCCTAAATAATTGACAATGTATCAAAGGATATTGGTTCTGCTAGTTTCTTTTCAGCTACCAGTTTTACACCAGTGGCTTTTGTATGTTGTGTCAAGTCATAGCAGGATCTGTCAGCACAACCAACACATTCCACCCAGCCCTAAAAAATAAACACAAGTCCATTTATATAACTAGCTAAGACAACTCACAAAATCAAGAAAAAGATAGTGATAAAGAACTGAGTGTTAGGAAGAACTTGAAAATATAAAGCATTAAAAACAACCACATGTTAATAAAAAAGGTATTACTATAGTTCACATCCCTTGAAAATATAAAGCACTAAAAACAACCACATGTTAATAAAAACAAGTATTACTATAGTTCACATCCCTTGAAAATATACAGCACTAAAAACAACCACATGCTAATAAAAAAGGTATTACTATAGTTCACATCCCTTGAAAATATACAGCACTAAAAACAACAACATGTTAATAAAAACAAGTATTACTATAGTTCACATCCCTTGAAAATATAAAGCACTAAAAACAACCACATGCTAATCAAAACAAGTATTACTATAGTTCACATCCCTTGAAAATATAAAGCACTAAAAACAACCACATGCTAATCAAAACAAGTATTACTATAGTTCACATCCCTTGAAAATATACAGCATTAAAAACAACCACATGCTAATCAAAACAAGTATTAGTACAGTTCATATCTCTTGAAAAAAATTAACCATATTTAATCACATGTTCTACATTTGCTCTTACAAATCCTACCAAGCTCTAACGTTTATAATAAAGTTTCCATTAATTTCTAACACTCTTACAAAATGTTCACAGCTTTCCGACTTAAGGAAAGAGGAACTATTTTAACAATACTTATAAATCTGGAGAAAAATTTGTGTCTGAGAATTCCAACAATCAATACTGGTCAAGTCCAACTCTTTTTCCAAGCAAAACAATTAGGTTTTATATTATTTTTGATATTCATGGCTTTCCCAATATTTGGAATTGGCCAGTAGTTATTGTGTTTTTTTTTAATTTGTAAACCTTTCCCCAACTTTTGTCACAACTAAAAATGCAAAATGGGTTTTACCAGCCAAGACAGGGTTAAACTTAATCTTACGTCATTTACCACTGTACTAATCTTATAAAATACTGTAATTGTCACACATTAATTACAACATAAATTAGCTATTCCTCTTTATTTAAAGCCCCCCCCCCCCAATAAAAAATTGAAGGCTTACATAAGAGGTCTTGCACTCTGCATCCCAGCAGTCACAAGCATAATGAGCCATTTCATTACTCATGTGCTGTCGGAAACGAAGTCTACGAGGGTCAACACCCACCTTCACCATAAACTGGTAAATTCTTGCCATGAAATAGGCTAGAGTCTCATTGGCAATTGTTTTCTGAAAAAAAGAAAATAAAGTAAGACCACACAAATCCATATTAATTATATTACGACTACTTCAAAATAAATTGGTTTGACACAAACCAAGACAGGCAATTTTAATAAAGAAGTGTGATCTTCAAAATTTAAATCAGAAAGTTTATAAAAATTATACAAGTTTATACATAATAACAAAACCTTTACAAATAATTTACTCACCAAACAAAAAGAACAAATGCATGTTTTAGTAAAATAACCCACTTATAACAATATTGTGGTGAAGCACATCGAATAAGACATGGTTATAAAATCTATTTTTCAACACCACAAACAACAACTTTAATAACAAATCTTTACTTTTTTTGGCCTTAAGGTGTTCTCATTATCCAATATATTGGAATATTGTGTTCAGTCTTGGGCTCCATACCTTAGGAAAGACATTGAATTGTTGGAAAGGGTTCAGAGAAGGGTTACTAGAATGATGCCTGGGATGAAGAGGAGAGGTTGAAATCTCTCAAATTGTTTTCTCCTGAAAAAAGAAGAGTTAGGGGGGGATCTGATTGAGGGGTTTAAGATTGTAAAGGGAATAAATAGTGTTGATGCATCATCTTTTTTCATATTTAACAGAGAGAATAGAAGAACTAGGGAACACAAGTATAACTTTTGGCAAGGTAGAAGTGATCTTCAGCTAAGACAGTTTTATTTTTCTAACAGGGTGGTTGGCCCTTGGAATGGGTTGCCTTCGGATGTTGTGGAGGCAATAAATTTAAGCGAGTTTAAGAAAAAGTTTGATAAGTATATGAATGATAAGGACTGGCTTTAAGATTTTTTTTCAATTATTCTAATTTAGTTTTGAGGATGGAAGAGCCAAGATGGACTGATAGGTCCCATGTTGTCCCAAAACATGTTATGTTTTGTTAAATACACACACTTAGCTTAACAGAAATATCCAATAACTACAATTACTGAAGTGTTTTTACCTGTTTTACTGCCTCTCCTATCCTGATTGGTTCTGCTGCTTTCCCTTCCATTTGATTACATGCAGAGTAAAGAGTGACAACCAAGTCTTTCACTGCGTCAAATTTGGGATGATCTTTATTAGCAGGATCCACAAAATGTTCTATTTCAGCCATTGTAAACTCTCTGAAAAAAACAAAAATGTTCTATTTCAGCCATTGTAAACTCTCTGAAAAAAACAAAAATGTTCTATTTCAGCCATTGTATACTCTCTGAAAAACACAGTAACTTCTGGCCTTTAGCAAAGTTTTTTGTTTAATAAATTAATTATATTTTCTGCAAATATATATAAAAAATCTTAAAATGTCCTTTAGCATGTTATTCAGTAAAAGAAGAAAAGTATACACAAAAGTAGAGTTAACAAATCAAGAGAAGAGTGTCGGTGACAAATGAGTACAGTAATGTTTTCTCCAGGGCAAAAAAAAAAGGAGACACTGGAAAACATATTACTTGTTTTATTCATTTTTAGCACCAGAAATTCTTATAACTGTCAATGAATATTGATTTATGTTTTCTTTTTTTTCTTCTGGATACACCAGAACTCTGGATTTGAAATGTAAGCTGTCTTCAACCACTTCAAGTCTGTTTTTTTCAACTGGTAAAATAGTTTACAAAATATACTATACCAAATGTTTTAAGTTCAATATAGTGAAATTGCACTGAAATCGTTTCATATGTTTCTATGAATACAAACCACATAACATTACATTCAGGTAAGAACCTCTGGAATCACTACTTCTCTCTTTAATCCATGAACACAACATTATGTACAGGTAAGAACCTCTGGAATCACTACTTCTCTCTTTAATCCATGAACACAACCCACAACATTATGTACAGGTAAGAACCTCTGGAATTACTACTTCTCTCTTTAATCCATAAACACAACCCACAACATTATGTACAGGTCAGAACCTCTGGAATCACTACTTCTCTCTTTAATCCATGAACACAACCCACAACATTATGTAGAGGTAAGAACCTCTGGAATCACTACTTCTCTCTTTAATCCATGAACACAACCCACAACATTATGTACAGGTAAGAACCTCTGGAATTACTACTTCATGAATTAGAGAGAGAATAATGTTGTGGGTTGTGAGAGGTTCTTACCTCTACAGGAATCACTACTTCTCTCTCTAATTCAGGAACACAAATCACATAATATTACATAAAGGTGTGAACCTGGAATCAATACTTCTCCCCTAGATTATGTGGACACAAATCACATAATAGTACATGTAGGAACCTAAAAACCTTCCTTCTAAAAGCTAAAGCTAATACATAAAGGAATAAAACTTCAGTATTCATGAAATAAACATTCATTGCTAAGAAGAAATTTAATTTGAAAAAGGTTCACAGGTTTACCTTTTTTGTTTTGTTTTGAGAATGGCACAAGCCTAAAATTAAAAAAAATGACTTCAGGATTAGCAGCTGGTCATTTTTAGTAAGTACAATTATTAATTTATGTATTTAATACCTTATTATTTAAGTCAGTCCATTTTTAACCACAACGTATTAATTTCCTCATAATTATCATAGAATAAGATATCAAACATTATAAAATGATCGTATAGAAACATTTAGTTCAGGTTAGGTAGACCATGACCAGCTGAAAACTGTAGTTTCATGTCATATCAGCTCATCAAGGTTCATTGTAAAGTTTGGTACCCGATATCTGATATTACAGAAATTTAACAAACAAAATTTAAAAACAAAAAACTAATATTTCATGTTACATATGACGTTAAATAGGTTTGGACATATGCACGGTTATATGTGAGGGTAAGTAAGTTTTGAAATATACACAAAGTTTATAAGAAAAAATCAGATTATTTCAAAATAAAAACAAACTGAAGAAAAATGTTCATGATATATTGATTTATTCTCCTTTTTCAAAAATCATGTTTACCTGAATAAAATAATCTGCTGTTATTTGACATGAAATGTTCTAACTTTTTAATACTATTAAAAATACATTGTCATTGAGCTTCAACTAAGGGATTATTATACATAAATTCTTTTTGGTTCCTTTACAGGCACTGCCTTAACTGCTAGATGTGTTAATATAATCTCATGGAAGAAATTCTGCACCAAAAATATCAACAAATACAGAAAGAATCAATTAATACTTATTGAAAAAATAAAATAAAATATTTCAACCTAATTCCTAAATCATTAGACTTGAATACACCATTCTCTGCCAAGAACAGGATATGGGTTAAGACAGGCTAATGTCATTGAAACCTCCAGAATTTATTCCTGGGTTTAGAGCAAGCAAAAATGTACGTAGAGTAATTTCTCAATAAATTTATAATGATTGCTTTACCTGACACGAATAAGCCCAGAGCGTGGAGAAATCTCGTTTCTGAAAGAGTTTCCTATCTGGGCAGCAGCAAAAGGCAGCTTGCTCTGGTTAAACTCCAGGAGTCGTTTGAAGTTTACAAATATACCTTGTGCTGTCTCTGGTCGTAGAAACCTGAAGGAGAAAAAACATTAGGGATATAAGGTCCAAAAACTTTAATCTTGCTTTTATTTAATACAAACTAGATTTGAAATAAAAAAAATTCTCAGAAATTGATTAAAATATAAAAATATTAACATTATTTCTTTAGTAGAGAAAAAATACTTTCCAGACTGATTCAATACTAAATAATGTACATCCTATACCACAGTCCAATTGATCAGTTTAAATTATTTTTTCTGTAAAAGCTAGGATGACACAAAAGTATTAACTTTAAACTGAATATTATGTTATATAGTGATTGTAACAGTGGCATTTGTAGATACAAGATATGATTTTATTACAGCCCAACAGAATGAAAAGAAATGTTATTTTCATTAATCAAAGCAGCGGCATTACTGTACTTAAATATTACTGAATGTACTGAATATGTACTGAATATTAAGTTATATATTGATTGTAACATGGCATTTGTAGATATATGATATGATTTTATTACAGCCCAACAGAATGAAAAGAAATGTTATTTTCATTAATTAAAGCAGTAGCATTACTGTACTTAAAAAAGATTTGGGGTTTTGTTACATAGATGCAGTAAGTTTTAGCATTTCAGTACGATATGGATCATGGTATTCTATTCTGATTTTTCAAGACGCTAACTAGGGGTTCGAGGCACTGTCAAACAGAATCAGGACACGGCCCCATGTGCCAGTGCCTAGCAATTCCTCTGAATCATAGTATCTTAGGCATGGCACACTTATTATTTGTGTGATAAAAATAATGACAAGTTAAACCACTTGAAGTACAATAGTTATGAATCAGAAATCAGCCAATATTGGGGCTTAATGTAGCATTTTGTGTCAGTGTCATAGGACCCATCCCATTTTAGAAAAACAAATGTCAGTCTCTTCATAAGTGATAATGATAATATATTTTAAAATATATGATAACCCCCACATTTTTAACACAGAATCGTTAAACAGCACATGTTTATCAGCTTCGTGCTACATGGAAAACGGTATCTCAACTTGAAATATTACCATTTGCATAAAGACATGGCACGCAAAATGCACCAATGGAATCCTGTACTCACTTCACATAAACAAATGTATTTATAGTGTGAGAAATCTGAAAATACAAAAGTCCTAATGAAGTTTGTTTGATGGAAAAGTTGAACATTATATTTTTACTTAAAGCATTGTTTACCATCTTTCTTTGATAGATTTTTTACATCCTTCAGTGAACAATACATTCTACTTTGATCATTGTATATTAAGCCTATTCAGGTAGTCTTATTGGAAAATCAAAAGATACTTTTTATTGTGGCAGAGGTAAACAGTGTTTCAAAGATGTTAGACAAACATCATTTATACTATTCAATACATAAAACAAGAGATTTCAAAAGTCAAAACATCACATAAACTTGGGCATTGGGAGCTCCTACTGAAAAAACAAACTATTCAATGAAGATACTTCAACTTTAGAGGGATTTTATTACTTTTATAACCACTTTCTAGTAACTTATGGTACTATCTTATTTCAATATTATACAAGATTGAAAAGCCTTCAATATGGTCATTCAGCAAAGATAGTGCTTGCTATCATGACTTGATGACACAAAACAAAAAATATATTAAACTGCTTTCAAAACTCTTATTATAAATGAATTTACTGTACATAGGCCTATTTCAAGTACAACTTAATGGTAGTAGAAACACGTACAGTTTGAACTAATGTTTCTTTCTTTTTTCTCATTAGATCATTCAATATGATTATAATTTTCTATAAATATGTATTTTAAGAGTCGTAATTTTGAATGTAAAAATTATAAGTTTTTGTCAATTATGTAATAGTATTTATAAAATTAGGAATTTGGAATGTAACTGCCTAATGGAAATGTTGCCAATACTTAATACCTCCAATAGTCTATGTAAACTCTTTTACGCATATACGAGTTAAACCAAGTTTCAAGCTATGACAAAAAGGTACAATGCATATATTTCATTGTTAAACATATCAAAATTTACTAATGAATGTCAGTGTTTTCATTTCAAAGAAAAAAGTCCTCTATAACAGTTCAGAAATAATAATGACAAAGTCCTTTGAAATCAATAAAAACCTATATATATAAACTTAAAATGATAGGAATTTTGTCCATTTTTGATAAATACAAATATATAGTATAAATATATTCATAAATCAGTTGAGTGAAATACTATGTGTTCAAAATATTACTTAAGATTGGTAGGACCTAACAAGAATATCAGACCATTCCTCATTAAAAATTCAAATTTTGTACTATTGTATTTATAAAACTTTGCAAATCTGAATTGGGGCACTGAATGCGAGATAATAAACAAAATAAAATGAAATGCATAGCTGTTTTCCCACACATTGTTTGAGGGTTTATTTAGTACTAACATATGTACGTACAAAGGTTTTGCTGTAATTACATCAAACCTCTCTTTTCTTGTTACTAAACCCAGAACTAAATCAATGTAAAAAACATAACATACATTTTTACAATCATATAAACACCATTAGACTCGTATGGAAAACAAGATAAGCCTATTTTTACTTCAGAGAACTTATTATAATACCATGGTATGTAAATTGTCTTTAGATAAAACGATAAGCTGTTCAAACTTATAAAACCTTACAAAAATACTTGTTTTTAAAACCAGTCGAGCATGGGATATACTCAAAGCAAGTGAATTTTTTAATCGATATAAAAATAAGGTTTTCTAAAACAAATGTATTTTTTCAACTTTGAATGTGCTTGTTTCAAAACTTTCATGCAACAATACAATTGTAGAAATGTTGACTTGGAAGCTGACAGAATGTAGCACTATCTCTGTAACAGACTTACCCTTTTACCAGGCCAGTAGGCCCTATTGAGGTACTAAACATCAGGTTAAACTCCATTGCATCGGAAAGATCATTGCCAGTTACTGGGGATTTCATATTAAATCTTCTAAGTACTGCATTCATCTCCTCTTTATTCATGCCATCTAACTGTTAGCAAAACAAGATTAACAGTCATTCGAAATATAAAAATTAGTAATAAAACAATTTCATATCACAACAGCAATATTTTATATCATTTCTATAAGTTAAACTTAAAATAATGATAGGAATTTTATCCAAATATATAATATAAATATTATTTAAGATTGGTAGGACCTAACAAGAATATCAGACCATTTCTCTAATGAACTGCTTCCAAATCTCTTGAGGACATTGAAACAGAAAAACAACACAAAGTCTGGTTCTAGGGAAACCCCATAATAGTTCAATGGATCTAAGATCTGGTGACTTGATGTGCAAGAGACATCCACTAAATTTTTCTCATGCTAGACAAACCGATGTACAACAAACTCTTGCTAAGTAAATAACTGCACTATCATCTTGAAAGATACCAACACCAGAGGGATACAAGTACTGCAATACGGGATAAGCTTGACCTTCTAAAACGTACCTTCTTTACTCCCTAAAGGTTGGAATTAAACGGTTGGAGTGTATGCTTGCACATTCCTACATATGCAAACACCTTTTTTAAAGCAATTAGTGACATGTATAAACACTACCATGTTATGCCACATAATTGAGTTTTTTATAGTTTTCTCTAATGCTGATAGACTCTACCATGATGTGCCACAATTGAGTTTTTTTAGTGTTTCCTCACACCAATTTATTCTACCATGATATGCCACATCATTGAGTTTTTATACTTTTCTCTCACACTGATTGACTCTACCATAATATGCCACATGACTGAGTTTTTATACTTTTCTATAACACTGATTGACTCTACCATAATATGCCACATAATTGAGTTTTTATAGTTTTCTCTCACACTGATTGACTCTACAATAATATGCCACATGATTGAGTTTTTATAGTTTTTTATAACACTGATTGACTCTACAATAATATACCACATGATTGAGTTTTTGTACTTTTCTTTCACACTGATTGACTCTACAATAATATGCCACATGATTGAGTTTTTATACTTTTCTCTCACACTGATTGATTCTTCCATAATATGCCACATGATTGAGTTTTTATACTTTTCTATAACACCGATTGACTCTACCATAATATGCCACATGATTGAGTTTTATAGTTTTCTATAACACTGATTGACTGTATCATAATATGCCACATGATTGAGTTTTTATAGTTTTCTCTCACACTGATTGATTCTACCATAATATGCCACATGATTGAGTTTTTATAGTTTTCTCTCACACTGATTGATTCTACCATAATATGCCACATGATTGAGTTTTTATAGTTTTCTATAACACTGATTGACTCTACATAATATGCCACATGATTGAGTTTTTATAGTTTTCTCTCACACTGATTGACTCTACAATAATATGCCACATGATTGAGTTTTTATACTTTTCTCTCACACTGATTGATTCTACCATAATATGCCACATGATTGAGTTTTTATAGTTTTCTCTAACACTGATTACTGGTGACCAGCATTGAACTCTGTTATCTTTTGCTTTGTTTCAAAATGCAACTCAATGTTTGAGAGGGTCCTGGCCACAGGTGGCCTTCCTGCTATCGTTCCACATTGCAATTAAGGTTGTTTTTTTAGCAGCATTCCATGCTGATAAAGGAGATAGTATTGTTTTTAATACAGCAATCTTTTTGGTCTTCCTTACATTATAAGCTGGCCCCTACTATACCATCGCTTTTTCAAAGTCTGTTAGATCTTTCCCAAGGCAAAATGTATGGATCATAGTATAGATGGATTATTCATATACACACATTTTGGGCATTTGAGACTTATACTTTATGCAAGTTGAATCTTTCATGTTTAGGTTTAGATGTCTATGAACTTAGAAGGGTGTTTCTGCTGTATCCTTTTCATCTTCTGTCTGTAAATTATTAATAAAACATTGTCTACCATATTCTTTATGTACTTAAGTGACATGCCACTTATATGTTATTTTAATCATTCATACAACTTTTTTTAATAATCAATTGCCCTATTCAGTCGAAAGGTAAGGGCTACCTCATTAGTTGATGTTTTTAATTTAAATTATTTGACTCTCTAACTAAATTACTGGCATTATAATGAGTATAACTTGCATGTAAATATATGTAAAAACTACTTTCATTTGGAGAACCAAGTTGTTATAAAAATTAATAAAAATTTCAATGAAATGTAATACTATAATTCAGTTGTACAAAATATTTTAAAGCACAAAAGTGGACCATGTTTGTTGCGATAAAATCATTAAAAATTTTTTTACCATGTGAACATGCTCTTCCAATGATATTTAAAAAATGCAAGATCACATCAACTTGTCCAAAATTAAATATATCTTCACGCTTTAACTTGCTCTGCTCTTCTTGTATAACCGAAGGAATAGACGAGCCTAAACTTATTATTTTTCTTCATCTTCAATAATCATAACAGAAGAGTAAAACTTACCTTTACAATAATATCTTCATACTCAGCCTTTTGTTCTGCTGTTGTTTTTTTATCCATCATCATTTTCTCCAAGTGAGCTACAACCACAGAAAACTTCACTATTTACAGGTGTCAGTGCCAAGATTAAGTTTTGGTATATAGAAAATAGGAACAATGTTGTTAAATTACACATTTTAACTCATGATGCTGATTTCTGAGACATAAAATCTGGGACAAAGACATCTTTCTCAATCTATAACGAGCTACAACCACAGAAAACTTCACTATTTACAGGTTTCAGCAACAACATTGTTCCTATTTTCTATATACCAAAACTTAATCTTGGCAAAATACACATATTAACTCATGATGCTGATTTCTGAGACATAAAATCTGGGACAAAGACATCTTTCTCCATCGTGTACATAGACTAAAAGTTTAAGTAAAATGTGCAACTTTAGATGTTTTCCTTCACAACATAGTTCCCAGACTTTTAACATCTACTTATTTCACATGTCAGTTAAACATCAATAACACCCAATCAGAACTAAAAATTAACCCATAAATAACACAACTATTCCAATATACTTAGAACATGAAACATCACAAAACAAAAACTTATAATGATTAGAATGCTTTAACTCATCAACTGGGTACCCTTGCTGTCATAACCCTAATAATATTTCACAATGTTCGGCAAGTTTAGGAGATTTAAGTCAGTTCTATGCCCATATAATAAGCTAGCTATGTTAAATAATCCTCGTAATAAAAGACGTATATAAATCAAATAATAGAGGAAAAATAAAAAAACAGAAAATTAACGAATCTAACATTAATGAAATAATGGAAAATAACTATATTTAATGTATTTTTATATGTAATAATTATCAGTGAAACTTATAAACTTAACTTTAATTGGCATTTTATCTGTATAATAAAGAAGTCATCCTAATATTAGTACTACATATGTTAAATACCATTTTTACAGTTTCTTAAGTGCTAAACTTTTTCTGAGTTAAATGGATATAAATACTTCAGTCAGTAACATTAGTTTTCAACCTTGTTGTATAAAACTGAGAAAAATAGCTTTCGACAAAATAAAAAAAATTCAAAGTAAAATATTAAAGTACAGTAATATTTTTAATAACTTACATTACAATCAAGATAATCTAAAATATTTAACCAGCTTACAGAATATAATACAACAGACTGCCGAGTCTTTGATTTTTTTTAAAAGTTCCACTAAATGTTATATCCTGAACATACAAAGAAACAATCCATTTTTCACATTTAACATATCATTTGAAGATGTTACTTTTACATTAATTAATGTGGCTGTAAGTTAAAAAACATTAGAAAAATAATGTAAAACTTTACAAAAACTTCTGTGATAAAAGTAATTGTGATATAGTTTCACTTCTTTATAATAATATTTTTATGCAACTTTATAAATATTAGAACCAATGATAAGTTTGAACTTGTACTTCAAAGATTTTTTCTTTAGATCAATTAATACACATATGTACCTTTTATTAGGTGATCTAATCGAAAACATTCTCCATTTTTCACATCTTTCACCATTAGATCAGCAAAACGATCAACGTGACCAGAAGCTCTGCAGAATAATTCATCAAGTATATGAACTTATCTTTGTTGGTTTATACAAAGTAGATAACAAGAGACATTGGCATATCAATCAAACAACAACTGTTTTTTTTTTATTTATAGTAAAATACCAGTACTTAATTAAATCATAATTCAAAATTTGTAACATACAATATAAAAACACTACATATAATGTCTTCTTGAAGATTAGAATAAAAGAAAAAGCTAAAATTATAGCTTTTTTTCTCTTTCTCTCTCCAATTGGACATAATGACAATGCAAAGCAAAACTTCGTGCAGCACAAGTCCTTTTCTAGATGTATTTATCTTTAAAAATGCTTAGACATTTAGTTTACAAAAGAAAAATATAAACTTGTAGCTTTTTTTCTTAACGTATTTGGATTAATTTCTTTTTCATTTGTTCTCTTAGTACCCGCTTTCAACGAACTCTTATTCTAATTTGTCATCATGTTAAGTTGAGATGGACTTGAACTCTTTGAGATAACTATTCATCTATCATAAAGAAAGAGAACCTTTTAATAAATTATCTAAGGGTTTAGATGCACCCTGGGTCATTTTCTGTACTTTTTAAGTGTCGTTTTAACGGCAATTTTTAAAGAAGAAATTTATGAGTAATTTTAAGATCTTTACATAAGTTTCACATGGTCTTTTCAATAGTATCAACTTTTCAAAAGTGCTTGTCAAGCATGCAAATGACCATCTCTTTTCCCCAGCAAATACACCTTCACACTTGCATTCCTCTCCAGCTGGTTCAACTTGAATTTCTTTGTCAGTCCTTTTTCTATCTCTATGATAACATTTTTTCTGCCCCTATCCCAATGATTTTTGTGTATTTAAAAGCTCACTACAGTGCAACAATTTCGCTGGAAGACATTTATGCAATTGCTTCTGACTCATTACTTCCTTGCCAATTATCACATTTTGTCCAGTCACTTAACATTTTATAAAACATTCTTAGATATTCCAGTTGGACATGTTTACAGTTACAATACCAGATTATAAGTTTGATGCCTGACCATTCCAATTTCAACACCCACCCCCAATTTTCCATCAAATTTACATTAATCTCAAGACTGATTTAAAGTGACTAAAAAAAATATAAAAATTCACAAATCCACAGAAAATTCTCACCTTTGACCTATAAGCTTGTTCAAAAGAAGTAAACTATGAATCTTTAGCTTCTAACAGTTACATTATTTCAGTAACTTTTACTGGTTCAAGCACTGAAGATAACTATACCAATAAAAAAGTAAAATTTATGAACTTTATAAGATATTATCGTACACTATTTCTCCATACACAAAAAACTTAAAAGTGAAAACTCTATTTCACTTTCCATACAGGTGAGTTTTCCCAATACTTTGCTACTCATTTTGGAAAAAATTTGATATCTTCATCAACAAAAACTCATATGTAACACACTCACTTAAGAACGGGTTCAGGAGTCAACATGGTGCAGTCCACTTCCAACATCTGTTCTTCTAAGACAAAGTGACTACGCCAAGCATTTAACATGTTGGTTTTCATAGCACACCCCATTGGACCAAAGTCAAACTGTCCCGCAATACCTAAATTTGAAATACAAGCTGTAATCCAACAGCACCTATGTGGCATTCATACTAAATACAAGCTGTAATTCAACAGCACCTATGTGATATTCATACTAAATATCATACAAGCTGTAATCAAACAGCACCTATGTGACATTCATACTAAATACAAGCTGTAATCCAACAGCACCTATGTGGCATTCATACTAAATACAAGATGCAATCCAACAGCACCTATGTGGCATTCATACTAAATACAAACTGTAATCCAACAGCACCTATGTGGCATTCATACTAAATACAAGCTGTAATCCAACATCACCTATGTGGCATTCATACTATTATAATCTTAGTAAAACACATAGGTTCAAGAAATCAGTTTAACACAAAGATACAATACCCTACAACCCGAGCACCTTTGAAAGGTAGACCTTTCTTCTTCAGGGGCAAACTGATCATGAAAGGCCCATCTTTTGAAAATGCCCAGGTTATAGGGTATTGTATCTTTGTATGGCATTCATACTATACATGTATAAGGTACGATTAATGACATCAAAACACTCTCTTAGACACCTAGTATTCTGAAGAACTTTCCCAAGTTATCAAAATATTCAAATTTACTCATTTTGCAGTCAAGCCATCTTAAGCTATTTACAAATTATGAAAATAGTGCAATAAAAAAATAACAATCACTTTTAATGGAAAAATGAATTTATTAAAATTGTTTAAACTACTTAAATCACAAATATTTAGTTTAATTAAAGACATTTGGAACTTATTTGGAAAAAGTGTTTTGAGGATCTTTCTCGGTCATTTAATAAGAATGCAGATACTCAGGCTTGTTCTATGAATATGTTTCCTTTGAGACTAAACTATTCACAAAATCATGTATGAATATCATTATTTATTAATATTATTATCATTGAATAATCAATTGCATATTATTACATTTTTTTTTCATTTAGACTAACATGTACACTTCAAGAGAGTTGTAAAATCTGAAAGTACACAGAAATGGTGAAAATTGGTGTAGAGATACAAAATAATTATGTGATAAACATTTTGATAACAGTCTTCAATGGGATTGATAAAAGATTATTAGATTAAAACCTTGACCATTTAATAAGTTTTTTCCTCTACAGCTACCTTTAAAATTCCTTTCTATTTTGTAATGATTATTTTTTAAAGATATAATATTCTGTCCACGACTTCAAGTTTGCAACAGTGCTGTGAAATTGATATTCTTCTGATAAAGCAATCAGGGCTACAAGACAATTCTCACCAATTACATATTCCCCATTCATTCAAATAAACTCATCCCTGAGCTCTCAACTCAAATCAAACATAAAAGCAATCAACACAAATTATACACTGAGTTCCTATGTTGGGTGCCAGTTGTAATGACTATTTTTATAGAAATAATATTCCACTGACCAGGGCTTGAACCCAGGATCTCCACCTTATGCTAGCACCCTTGAGACTAGAAGTCTTACAACTACAAGCCTCAAACACCTATCTTAACTGTTACAATTTACACGTTAAGAAGCTTCTTTCTGTAATGGGTAAAGCTAGTGTAGTTAATACATGTTTACCAAAATGTACCATCCCAATACTGACTTGTGGTGTTGTTACATTCAAAGCATTACAACCATCCAAACAGGCTAAGCTGTGAAATTTCTCCTGTAGTGGGTGACTTGTTTGAGGCAGAGAATAACACAAGGTGGAACTGGCTATAGCCAAGTCACAATTATGCTAACTAAATACAAGAGCAGATGCATTAAAATTCACAAAAAGTCTACCTGCATATACATGAATAAAACATATTTGTATTGCTGCTATAAGAAGATAACCTAATGCCAGTTTTCATACATCAAAGTGTAAAACTTTATCACAACTTATTTATTTGAAACAAAAGTTGAGAAAAATCTCAATCCATAAAGTAGTTACCCTAAAGTAATCACAAAGCAAACAGCTGTTACCTTGTCTTTAAAAAAACTAAATACATTGTTATGTGTAATATTTACTATTTTACTGGCTAAGATAATAATTCTGTAATAAACTATAATTTAGAAAATATAGTTTCAAATCATTTGCTTTTATACAAGTAGAAAAATGTGAATAAACTTTTAGAGAGAAAAAAATAAAGCACCTTTAAAAACTATGGTCATAATTTATTAACTTGGCGACATTTCAAGCAAATGTTCTTTTTCAAGCCAGAAAAAATCTTGTTTCTGGATTGAAAACGAACGTTTACTAGAAAAGTCGCCAAGTTAATAAATTATGGCCATAGTTTTTAAAGGTGATTTTTTTTTCTCTAAAAGTTGCCAAGTTAATAAATTATGACCATAGTTTTTAAAGGTGATTTTTTTTTCTCTAAAAGT